ATTGATCTCTAATAAGATATTTATTTAAAGTACGATAGTCTACACACATTCGATATTCATTTGACTTCTTCTTGGTTAATACTACTGGTGAACAGAAAGGTGAATCACTTTCCCTAATGACATTATTTTCTAATAAATTAGCAAGAATTTCATCCAACGACTTTTTCTCTGCATAAGATAGTCTACGTGGTCTGATACTAAAAGGTTCATTTTTAGTTAAAGTAAGCTGTGCTTTGAAATCACACTGTGGTTTTAATGGTTTATCATAATCAAAGTAATATGACTTCAATAAAGTTTGAACACTAGTAGTTATTTCAAAAGGTAAACAATAATTAATATTCAAGTCTGCATCTAAATTTACCATATCGTTAATAAACAAAACATCTGTAAAAGGAAACTGATAGTCCTCCTCTGTTTGTACACAAGAGTTTTTATTTATTTTAAAAGAACCATTTGAAAAACTTATATTTTCTATGGATTCATTGTTTATAAAATCTCGACCCAAAAGTAGATTCCAACTAAAAGAATCTTTCTCAACAACATAAAATTTTAAATTTACTGATATGTCATCAAAAATAACTGTGTCATAAAAAAACCCTAACACTTTTAAAGGAGATTTATTTATACCTGAATAAGATTCAAGATTAGTAGAAGAAATAATATCTTCTGCCTTTACAAAATTTTCTGATATCAATGATATTGGACTCCCTGTATCTATTATACCATTTAATGTTATGCTATACTTATCTAGAACCAGGTTTAATACAAAAGGATCCGTTTGGCTCATAGGACGTTCCACTAGACCCATGGCTCCATTACTATCTCGGGTAGTTGAATCTGCAACTTGTTGCACCACTTGCTGGTTTCTATTAGGACAGTCTCTTACCATATGATCTTTGCTTCCACATCTAAAACATGATCCCCTATCACGCTTGGCTTGTCTGCACTCTGTCACTTTGTGTCCGGTACGACCACAATTAAAGCATTTTACAGGAACTGGCATCCGACCCTGTGTTGCTGTATGAGGTTGGTTCTGGCTAGAACTTACCCTATAACTTGATGCTGTAGCAAACCTTTGTCCACTTCCTGATACCTCATCTTTAACAACACTCCCCATTAACTTATATAAATCTTCAGTGCTATTGAGTGTGGATAACATCATTTTGGCTTGATTTTGAAGTAGGCGATCATCAAACCCATCAATCAGATAATGTATCATATCTTCATCCTCAACTCCTGCTTCGTTGCCCAGTAACAGTTTGTCATGGAAATATGCTGAAAAGCTTTCACTCTTTTTCCACCTTCTAGTCTCCATCTTTCTTCTCGACGACACTGGATCATAAGTTCTCCCATACATTCTCCTAATTTCATTTTTTAAACCTGTCCAATCTGTGGAAATTAAATTTGGTTTGCTGAGGTACCATTCCTTCGCTTTTCCGGTCAATTTTCCAATGACTAACAGTTGTAAAATATCAGTTGGAACATTATACACAGTTTTGATTTTTTCTATTCTTTCTAACCATATTGCAACATTCTGGCTTTTGTCTGTGCCTGAAAATTCCGGCATTAAATTTGATAATTCACTGTTAGTAATTTTTATGGGGTTATGTGTCGGCATCTGATTTTCTGGACCGGCAATTTTCTTTTTCTCTTCATAATCGAGGATTGCCTGTACCGCTGTATGAACAATTTCAGCTATACTCGCCTGAGCGACGGTGTTTCCACTTGTATTTTCAATTTCGGTGTCTGATCCCGGCATGGCTATCGTCAATACTAAACACAATTTTTAAATCTGCAAAAATATCGGCGATCCACGTAATCCCACTTCTGATTCTGTAGGCTCCGTTAATAAATAATATTGTTCTAGTTTTCTTAAGTTTATTTAGCGGAAAGAAACACTAATTGTACATAATTCGACATAATAGTTTTCATAACATTCAGATGGCCATAATTCATAATCACAAGTGTCAAGTCTAAACATAAAGTGTGTGGTTATCTTCTTTTTTTTTTCAAATTGAGTGACAATCAGATCTGTCAATGGCGCGAAATTCAAATAAGACTACAATATATTTTCCTAATTTATTGTTCAATATTGTGCAATATGTAGTTTGTTCTCTGTATTTGTTATATTGTATTGTCATCCTCAGGGATGACAAAACGGTTTACGTGAATTATTTTTTTAATATTCACTATTGTTCTTGATAAAACTTTTTGTGAATTTTGAGTTTTTTATCACCTAAATTTATTTTTGTTGGTTTGAAGAAAGACAAAAAGAAGAAACAATGAACGGACAGCTACCACAACGTTTTTTTATTAGAAAAAAATTGTCACAGTACAATGAATTTGAAAGACAAAAGAAGTATAATTTCTCAGATATATCTGAAGAAGAACAACAGGAGTTCATGAACTGGATTGAAAGTTCTGAGGAAGAAGTGGAGGGTGATTTCGACGATGATGATGACATTGCAGATCCAAATTATATACCAACTGATATAACTCCGGTAGATGAGCAGTGTATTTCCGAATGCATCGAAGAAATTAATACAGCTGAGTCCCGGACTCTTTCATGGAAGCAGTTCAATACATTCTATACCGTCGAGTCCATGCTGATAAATCTACTAATAGTGATGAACCAAAGGAGAAATTAAACCAATTACTTTAATTTCCTGAACAGATAGCTGCTGGCCTTGTGGCGTATACACAAAGACGTTCTGTTGGTCGACCATCTTCTCTCAGTCCGTACATCCTGGTACTAGTAATGTTGGTCAGAAAGCTAAATATCCTGTAGCCGATATCAGATACGCCAACTACGACCATTTTCCAATATGGCTAGGTAAATCAGGAGAAAGAAAGAAATGTAAATATTGCAAAGACTTTGTAACCCAATGTGTTTGCCAAAAGTGCCACCTACATTTGTGTTGCTCTAGCTCAAAAAATTGTTAATACGATTATCATCATAAATAATGTAATTTCCTTGTCTGATATTTTATTCGAATAAAAATACATTTAACGAAATATACTGTTTTATTTCACTTAAACCGTTTTGTCGTCCTTGAGGACGTCTTACGTTTTTTTTACCTGTCGAATCAGCCAATAGGGAAATATTTATAAGAACTTCATATTCGTCATTCTCATAGCAAGATTAACTAGAAACAAAAATTTATATAGGAAAATATGCACTATTTCAGATTTTCAGGTTAGAGGGTTAAAGATGGCTTCCAGGTTCATGCTGTATACACAGACTTTACAGAGGCTTTTGACCAGGTAAATCAAAAGATTTTAATCAATTGAGGAGTCTGGGTATCCAGGATGAACTTTTACAATGGTTGTTATCCTACCTAACTGAAAGAATACAAATAGTATGTGTTCAGGGTTTTCATTACTCAAGGTACTTTCATTAGTATCACAAGGATCACACCTAGGACCTCTTCTATTCAATAACTATGTTAATGACATTGCCTCCTGTTTCCTCTTTGCTTCTTTCCTAATGTTTGCTGATGATTTAAAATTATATTTGAAAATTGAGAATGATGGTGACTATCAAAAACTTCAGTCTGATTTGAATCGGTTGAGCTCTTGGTGTGACAACAACGGAATGAACTTAATGTTAAAAAGTGTCATTTAATAGTTTTTGGTCAGAATAAAACTTCTACAAATCATATCTATACTATTAATGGTTTAGACTCTGTATCTCAGATAAAAGACCTAGGTGTTCTGCTCGATTCCAGCTTATTCTACATCCCCCATATTTCATCTGTTGTCTCAAAATTACTTCAACTTTTAGGGTTTATTAAATGTTATGCTAAAGACTTTCTAAGTATCCCATCCATAAAAATTTTGTATTGTTCACTTGTGAGACCCCACCTAGATTACTGTTCATGTGTTTGGTCTCCTCACCATAACACCCATATTCAAGCTATAGAGAGAGTTCAACACAAATTAAACAAAACCAGAGGATTTAAGAAATTAACTATTCAATTATGGAAAGGTCCCTCAACATGACTTCTCTTCAAATCAGATGCATGCACAAAGATCTCACTATTTTTTATAGTATACTGCACTCTATTATTTTTGGTCCTCAACTATTGTAAAAAATTAATCTCCATGTTACCCAGTACACAAACTACTGACTCAATTCATTCACATCTAGAACACCAAGGTTTGCTAATCATTATTCCCAAAAGTTGGATTGTTATAGTATTCCAAAAGAATTTAAAGCTCAGCTTAAGAACTGTGTGTGATAGCTTAATGTCCTTGTGTTTTGTACATTCTTTGTTAATGTTTGTTATTTACTGTTCCTACTTTTATTTTTTGTATGATTAAAATTTTTAAATTTAATTTAAGTAGGTTATGTTAAGAATCTTCTGTAATTTATCAATAATGTTTACATTGTACTTTAATTGGGTGATTGCCTGTTGATAAAAAAAAAGAAAGAAAAAGAAAAAAGTGAGCCCAGTTTCGTCTGCACTGTAAACATTTTAAAGAGCATAATTTTCTTCCTTCAGTAACTCAGTTAAATTAATGTAGAATTAATATAATACTGATGCATCTGCAGCTTAAGTTTTTATCTATGTATTTGAAGCTCGTGAATGGCAGGTCTCAACTTGAATAATTTTAACCAGCCTGTGCTTTCTTGAAAATTTGACAGCTCTCTTATATATAGCATCATCCATATCTGTGTTTGATTCAAGTTTCATCTTTTGACAACTTGTGGATTTGCCAGAAGGATCATGCTGACATAATGTTACTTATGCTCGTATTTTTGTCGGGAGTTCAGATAAGCAATTGTTAAGTTAATCGATGCTCTACTGTATTTATTGACATATATTTTAAATTCAATATATTGTTATTTTTTCTGTATTACATTGATATATTTGTTTTGTTTTATATCAAGTAGTTTCTTTATTTTCTTTAGTCCTATATAGTGTTCTCATTTTGTTCCAACCATAATATTTAAGACATGATTTTTCATATTTTTTTATACAATTTGTTGATTTCAGATTAACTGCAAATTAAAAAGAAGCTCTAAGATAGAGCCACTGGTATGCTGTTGCGATGGCAGGAAAACCTGACTTATCCTCCGCCTCTGGCATCCAAAATGTTATAGTATATGTATCTGATGACAATTTTGCTCAGGCTTACTCTCTGGGGCAACAAACAGTTCAAGAATCCAATCATATTGTTCAAGGTATGTATTTTAATCATTTAAAAATTGACTGGTGTGTCTACAATGTTTTTCTCCTTTTATAGGTGAAGGATATAATGTCCTTTCTGCACCAAATGCTTCCCTAGTTGGACCAGTAAAGTCCTTCAGAGAGAAATCAACTGTTAAACTTGTGGACTATGCAGTTAAGCAACCACAGGTTGAAAATGTTCAACAAAGGGAATATTACAATAATACATTACCTCAGAACAGAGGGTAAGTTTTTTGTTAAATTCAAAAATAATGTACTAATATATCAATGGTTAAATATTGAAACCTTATAAGTCAAAAATTGGCCATTTTTAGATTCATGATAATTTGGGTTGGAAATATTGTTCCGAATTTACTGGCAAAACCTCAGATTCATGAAAATTATATATTGTCATGTTTTTTTCAAAGTAATAATTGAATTCAAACAAAGAGGATGCAAGACAATGGATGAATCACGAAATACAAGAATGAATGGGTCAAGAGAACATAGCTAGAGCAATAAAAGCACAAGTAATTAGATGCTATAAACTGAATAAGATGGGCAGGTCACATAGTACGATCAGAGGATGACAGAGTGTTAAAGACAGTGTTTTTTGAAAGACCAGATGGTAGAAGATCTGTAGCCCCGAAAAAGATGGAAGGATGATGTTGAAGCCGATTTATCTAGAATTGGGGTACAACAATGGCAAATAGAAGCGCAAGATCGTAGAGGATGGAGGGCGATAGTGGATGCAGCGAAGACTCACCCTGAGTTGTAAAGCCAGTGAAGAAGAAGAAGAAGAATTAGATGGTATGAACACATAATGAGAAGAGAGGAGAGTAATCCGTTAAGAGTTATAACAAAATGGCAGAATTAGGCAGACCTAAACTGAGATAGATACAACAAGTAGAAGACTTAAGGAGAATGAAAATTAGAAATATAGAAAGGACAATCAAAGAGAGAGATGACTGGAGAAAAGTAGTGGAAACAGCGAAGTCACATCAGAAACTGTAAAAGCAAACCCAGAATGGGATGATCCTCACACAAAAAGAAAGTAAAAAAAAAGAAAGAAAATATATGTACTAAACATTAACATTTTTTTACACTCCTAAAAAATTTAAAATTTTGGCTTATGAGGTTTTGACTCTAAAATTGTTATATGTTAAATTGTAATTAGTTAATAAATAAAACAGTTATTGCAACAAAATCACTGTTTTTGAGTTTTGTTAATAACTTTTTTATTGTTTATTAAAATTTGTTTAAATGCATCAGAATTTGAGGGTCTTCTCCTGTTTGAATTGTGTGCAAAAGATGGACCAAATTGGTTTAAAAGTTATTGTGAAATTTAATTTATTTATAAGAATTATATTTCCAAGCGGGAGAAGGTAGTCTTGAAGTTTGGTGTTTTCTAAGGCACTAAAGATAATTGCTTGGGACTTTAAAGAAAATTGCACTCTCGTCGCTGTCAAAGAGTATGACTGTAATGCGTTTATTTGACTTTGATGGTCTTGTGTTATAGAACTGTTGTGTGATTCCATGTTTGAATTTATTTTGATAAACGTTAAGTGAAAAGTAAGTCCGACCCTGTAAACCTGCTAAAACAGGTATATTGGTCTTTACTAAAAGCGGTTATTTTGCTGGTAAAACTGACTTTGTTTATTGACAACAATAACAAATAATTGCAATTTGCCGACTTTAATGCTAATGAAAACTATGAAAATAGACCTTGGCAAAGGTGTGAGACAGGGCGACACCATCTCACCCAAATTATTTACTTTGGCATTAGAAAATGTTTTCAAAAAACTAAATTGGGCCGAAAAGGGATTAAAAGTAGATGGAGTATATCTTAACCATTTGCGTTTCGCAGACGACATAGTACTAATAAGCACAGATATCTATGAACTGAAATCAATGCTACAAGATTTAAATCACAAATCGAATCAAATAGGATTAAAAATGAATCTCGACAAAACAAAGATATTAAGCAACAGCCTAGAAAACATCACGGTAGATAACATCAATATAGAAAAGGTATATATATATATATATATATATATATATATATATATATATATATATATCTAGGACATGCAATTAAAAACGAAAAGGAAAACCAAACCCTAGAAATTAAAAGAAGGACACAATTGTCATGGGCTGCTTTTGGTAAGTTGAGCTCATTTTAAAAGACAAAAAAAATTCCAATTCACTTAAAACGAAAAACCTATGACACTTGTATACTACCAGTTGCAACTTATGGGTTGGAAACTATGGCAATAACAAGAAAACGGGCCATATTAAATATAAGCCTCAGAGACAAAATTCCTAACACCGAAATACGTCGAAGAACTAAAGTAACCGACATCATGGGAAAAATAGCGACATTGAGATGGCAATGGGTAGCACATGTAGCAAGACAAGACACCAACAGATGGTCTCATAAAGTGACATTCTGGAGACCTCGAGAAACAAAAAGAAGCGTAGGAAGACCCAAAAAGAGATGGATAGACGATATAACAGCTGTAGCTGGAAAACAGTGGATGAGAATTGCAAAAGATAGGGAAGCGTGGAAGCAATTGGAGGAGGCCTATGTCCAACAATGGATAAATGAAGGCTGAAGAAGAAGAAGAAGAATGCTAATTTAACTGGATATTATGTAAAGAGTTTGTACACTTACAGTTTATTTCAATATATCACTGAGATTCACAATTTATAACTTATATTATACTTTGTTAATGTTAAAAATATTCAGAGCTCACATTGAATACAACATTATAGTTATCGATGCAGAACTGAACTCAGTGCTATTTATTAATGAAAGTATTTTGTGTACAAAATGTTATACATACGTCTTATATATGTCTTAAAAAAAATTAGCCACAGGTTATTCTGGTCATCATCATCATCAGTAGCTCGACAACCCTTTTTGGGTCCTGGCTTGTTCTAGGATTTTCCGCCATTCTGTCCTTCCTCGTCGGCCCTGACCCTACTTTCCACTGGGGTTGGTTACCCAATCTTCGGTAGGGTTGCTCAGGTTTGCCAGGGTCCACCCGTGTGATTAAGTCACACTTCTTGGAGGTGAGGATAGGAATTGAGTAGGAGTGGCTAGAGGTGTTATCAGGAAGCAACACCTTATATTGCGCATCACTACTCCTTGGAACCCCGGATTATTGTGGTACATTCAGTAAAATTATCTGGACCATCTTTAGAAATAAGCTCATTTTTCAAAAAATCTTATAAACAAGTTAAATTTCGCAAAAACTTTTCAACCGATCTGGCCTATCTTTTGCACACAATTCAAATAGCATAAGACTCTCAAGTTCTGGTACATTTAAACACATTTTAATAAATAATAAAAAAGTTATTAACAATATTCAAAAACAGCGATTTTGTGCTTCATTTTGCAATAACTTTTTTGTTTATTACAATTTAGCATACCTCATTTTGTGTATCTTTTTTAAGTTGCGAGTATAAGTTTTTTTAGTTACGAGCAAAATAATAAGTTTGACGTTTTGATTGTTTATTTAAGAATAGTTCCACTAAAAAATTGATGAATCCCTTGAGCCTTTTTGTAATATCTCATACTACACATTTCAACTGTCTATACAGTTTTGTCGATTAAAAATCTAACTTAATTTGCCTAATGTGTCTTTTGCAGTTGTGTTTATCCCTCTATACCACAAAGTGGTTTTCCACAAAATGATGTCACTTTCCACAATGGTACGTGTGAGAATGTGGAGTTATTGCAAGAAGAAAAACAAGCCTCTGGCGCTGTTTGTAGTACCCTCAGGGTGAGAGAAGATTGTACTAACTGTGATTCATATGTGGACCAGGACTATAATAAGGTGCTGGCGACAGAAGGAGCTATTCAGGTATATTTTTTTGTCTATTGTACAAAGACTATACTTCATTCAATGTCATAAATAAGCTAAAGGTACATAGTTTTAGACACGTGATCAGTGGGTGTGTCGTTGTCAATTTCTAGGCAATGATAAGTTGCGGTGACATGGTACACCCACTGATTACGTGGCTGAAACTGTTTACCTCAAGCTTATCTTGAAATTGAACGAAGTGTAGTAACTATTTAAAAATCTCTTTTAGGGTGTCTGCTATGATACTGTTCGCCTTGAAGCTGCAGACTCCAGCTGTAGTAGTTTAAGTTCTTCAGATGATGGATCACAACTGCTTCATAACCAATCTTCAGAAATGGTTGTATATGATCCTAATATTAATGTATCAGCTGGTAATGTAGTACTTACTGTTGGCTCACCTCTCTCACAACATCAACATCAACAACATCTGCAACAGCAACAAATCCAGCAACAACAACAACTTCAACAGCAGCAGCAGCTTCAACAACAGCAGATTCATCAACAACAACAGATTCAGCAGCAACAGCTTCAACAACAACAGCAACAGCTTCAACAACAACAACAGCAACATCTACAACAACAACATATTCAACAACAACAGCAGCTTCAACAACAGCAACAGCTTCACCAACACCAACAGATTCAACAGCAATCTTCCAGTCAAGTAGTTGAAAATTTTGGTCCTATGCAGAGGCCTACTATTACTGTACCTTTTGGATGGAAGCGTTTATTAAATAATGGATCTATTATTTATATTAGGTAATCTTTCATTGTTTTAGATCAATTCTATGAATTCCAGTCATTGTCAACTGTATCTATGTTGATAAATAATTTACATTGATTTCATTTTACTTTTTTGGTTATTTTCAGCCCTAGTTCTACAGCTTTAAGGTCTCCTGAACAAATTAAGGAGTATTTGCTGACAGCTGGTACTTGCAAATGTGGTTTGGAGTGCCACTTCAAGCATGAAACTGTCTTTAATTTTGATCCCAAAGTAAGTATTAAAATAAACAAGTTTAGATTGAAAATATTATAACAATATCTGTTTTAGGTCATTGGGAAACCTTATGTAATGATGCCAGATTCAAAAACTGGAAATATGACAAAGTTATGCAACCATAAAAGAAAAATAATGCCTATGGTAGCTTTAGATATTCCTCCTGTTGATCATAATATAAAGTTCCAAAGAGGTATATACTATATTATTATTACAATCAAAAGTTTAACTGGGTATATTTGTTTTTATAAATATAACGCCATTTTTGCATTTTAGACCAAAATATGAAAAAGAAAAAGCGAAGAATTGGTTTGCCTTATATGGAAGGAGTACCGGTCTCCCAGATAATAACTCACCGTGAAAAAATAGCATTGAATCAAAATTCTGATAAAGATATGTCAACACAACCACAGGTAAGTGTTTAATTTATTCAGGAATTTGTATTTATGCTTTATATATACATCCAAACCTACTGTTATTTATTTTTTAATTCCAGATTTTCCCCGAGTATCCCCCAAATATACCACAACAAAACCATCTTGTAAAATATCAAGACCAGCAGGGTAATAGAGTGGTCTTAGCTGACGGAACTGTCATGGTCCAGCAATCAAACTCCACCAACGAATCTCAAGAAGTCCTAAAGAACGATCAAATTCACCAGATCAATAACATGCCTAACACATTCAACTCACAGTCTCGCCAGGTATTGGGTCCTAATGGACAGATCATTCAAGTCCGAAGTGGGTCAAATAATCCTCAAGGAAATGTGTATCATATGGCACATCCTACTGGTATGTAAACATAATTTTTTATTTTATTATATTTTACAGTTCTTTTAACATATATATTTTTCAATATTGCTGAAAGTAGGGACTGAGCAAGTTTTGGGCTGGAGATAGGGTAAGCAAACAAACCGAAACGTCTGCCAACAGCCACTCTTGGTTTGGTTGGGAGCTGGGTCGTAAGTAAGTGAATAAAGGAGGCACTAGAAGGGGTAATTACAAAGGAAGAAATCAAAAAATACTTAATAGATTTCCTGGGCAACAAAACTCAAGAAGGTGTATCGAATTTTTTGCGCCTGAGTGTAATAAAATTATTAACTCACTTTAAAACACACAACAAAATAAAAAAATTAATTGAATTAAAATTTGTAGATACTTTAATTTTTAAAATTACTAAAAGCTTTTTAAAGTCTTTAAATTTAAATTAAACTAAAAAAAGATATTTTTTTGTAAACGAAACCCATCTGACAGCTAAACAGTTGTCAAACTCGGTTGGATGAGACTTCACAAGATGAGTGTAGATAGTCACTCTCTCAGAAGCAGGTGTATATTTATCTACACTGGTATTAAAATTTTTCCTACGCTTTTCAATAGAACAGAGTGGTGTAGCACCACACCTTGCAATGGAACGACTTGTGTAGCGTTTCTACAAGTTTTTAGAACTACTCCTTTTAGTGCTACACTAGAAAACAAAGGAACAGACCTAATACTTCTTATAGCATTATTAGTATATGTCCAGATTTAGCTTTACGACTCTCACTCCCTCAAAATTTACTCATCCCAGATACCTACGGTATCAAAATCGACTTGGTATGCTGGATTATCTCCCAAAAATTTTCGTATTCATCTGGATGTTGAGAGTAGTACAGTTTTCTGCACGGTCTTGTAGAGATGTTCATTCAGACCTAGCTTTTTTTATGTTTTCTAGGAGGTTCTTCAGAATGAATCCAGTAGTAGAGAGAATAATGGGTATTTTCTGGGTACTTTTCATTCTCCACTGCCTTCGTATTTTAATCTTCAGATCCCTGTACTTGGCGATATTTTTGTTCTGTTTAACACGAAAATTATTGTTTTTGGGTATCGCCACATCGATTAGTGTTTATTAACTAGTATGAGTATTGTTCTGAAGCTATTTCTGTGGCATTTTAAAGTAATTACTATTTAAATGGGAATAAGCCACAATTAAAGTTGTATTATATAATACGTTTTGTATTTTGAGAACGATTTCCGAAGTGGAAATTGAAACGTCAATAAACTTACTTTAACCTTTAATTGTGGCTTATTCCCATTTAAATAGTAATAACTAGTATGAGATCTGAAGAAAAGATAAATACAGTATGATTTTAATTTTATTTCAGTAATATTTTATAAACCACATTTTATGTTATAGGACCTAGAATGATCGCCCACATGCCAAAAGAATCAGAAGAACATCGCATTTTCATTAGTCGACAACCAAATGAACCTACAGGACCAGGAAGGCCCCAACACATCCAAATAGTGCGGGTTAATGCTCCAAATCAACAGAAATTGGTAGAAAATAATCAAATTATAGATAGGAATCAACCCAAACGTCATATGCAGCCCCTCCAACCACAATTCTGCAACCCTCAACAGTACCAACAGGTAAAATACTAATTTCTTACAACTTTGATGAATACTCACTCTTTATTGATCCGTAGGTTCAATTGTGTGGTCCCCATAGGCATATTAGACCTTTCAATCAGGTAAATCCCAGTTTTAGACCTCACAGAATGCTTTATCAACCTAATCACATTGCTGCCCAGGCTCCTCTCCAACCCAACCAGCAGAAAATTAACTGGCAAAATCAAGTGCGTCGGCCTACGACCATAGATCAACAGAAACATCTGGAACAACAACAAAAACAACTAGAACAGCAACATCAGAACCAGCCTAATGTCTGCGAGAGAGTACCACCGCTCTACCAGCACACTCCTCCATTGGCAGTATGCCAGGAGGAAGTCAAGAGAAAGAAGGTAAAGATGGGGAAGTTTGGCAAGAATAGACCTTACAGAGTGGTGAGTATGTCGAAAATTATGATTTACTGTTTAATAAAGTCATTATTTTGGTTTAGGTGGAGGGAGGATGTTCCAATAGCCATTTCTCATGTCCAAACATTGACATTCGTCATATACCTCAAGAGAATAGGCCTGTGATGATGAATAATTTTTCACAAAATCTCAAAAGTTCCAGTCCATCTTTTATGGAAGATCCTAGCGGCTACCTGGCTCAACAAACAGCTTTGCTGAATAGCACTATCAACAGACAAACAGGTAAGTTAGGAGGTAATGATCCATTGTCTATATTCAATTTTGGGCATTTTTTGCTGAATAACTCTACATTTTTGCTTAGTTGTCCTTTTTAAAAGTATCTACATGTATAGGTGCTGCTGGATGTTCAGGATACACTTGTAATAGTCCTGGAACAATGTGCCAGAACCCTCAATCATTGAATATTAACAGTCCTTCAAATTCTCCATCCCAAGAACTACCTGCTGCGACAAATGAACCTACAAATAATCTCCTCAAAACCGCACGAGGAAATTTCGCTAGGCTGCCTCAAGATTCCAATGCTCCACTTCCACAGAACAATCTGGTTCAAGTCCAGCCGGGTTTTGACAGTACCAAGTCTCATCAATATTGCCGGTGTTGCGTTCCTGAAGGATTTCAACCGAATTACCAAGTAAAGGCTCCTAAATCTCATGTTTCGAATCCTGACGATCCTGTAACGTCCTCTACATCGTATGACAAGCAATTCAATCAAAATACAGTCGATATTCAGCCGATACAAGGTGGTACTGTCAGTACTAGCAATATTTCGCCTATGGAAAGTACTTCCGACCCGCCAACTCCGGATCCGCCTCAAAGGATTGTTGACAACTCACAGATCACAAGTACTTATGTGACATATTCTAAGCCAGACCAAGAATACCGACAGGCGATGTGTGCTAAATCCAGTGAGCCTGTGTGTTGCTTCCACTCACAAGCACCAATGGTTACAACTATGGCCAGCAGTAGAACTGTAGGCAGCAACACAATTACATCAGTACTTGCTGGAAGGACAAATACTACAACAACTTCATTGAATACACCATCAGCGATGACCAGAGGTAAAGAGATATCTACTTTTGATACGATGGTACTCACTTTTGAACATATATTTTATATATCCTTTATACTTTTCAGCAATTGGTCACAATACTGCTACTGTCCAGTCTCAATCTATGACAAAATCTCCTCTGGAAATGGTCCAAAGTATCGTGAGCAGTATCCAGATGCCTAATACATCACAGAATTCCCAAATAGGTAAACCAGATGGTACTCATCATGAACAACATATTCTCGTGTCTTCCGGGGAACAAATCGTTATGGGCGGATCACACGAAGATATACAAGTACCACCCAAAGTCATCACCAATGAAGGTACTAAGATGTTTACCTTTGGAAATATTCAATTTAAATATATATTTGTTTTCGCAGGTATGCCTCCCGTTACTGTATCACCTATGGTAACTACCGTTACATCTTCCGTGGGTACTGTTATTCCAACTGTTGGACAGCAGGTTCTTGGCCAACAGGCAGTTTTAGTAAATGCTCTTCCAGCACCTTTTGTTCTTCAACCTGGAGTTACAATGACTATGGACGGTGTTCCTGTCGGTCAGAACTTGCAACTACCCCAATTTGTAACAGGAAATCTCATTCAACAGCCGATACAAATTGAAAACTCTGACACACGGAGGGTTCCACCGCTACTGTCGCCGGATACGAAGAAGAAGGGTAAAAAGAGGAAGGAATCTGCTCAGACTGTAGCTAGCATGTTGCAATTCGCTACCCAACAGAGTCCCGGGATGGTGATTTCTCCTCAAGGATTCCCGCAGCAACTACAGATGAACAGTCCTCAATCTGTGACAGCTACACCCGTCATGCAAGCTGTGACTATTGTTCCAAATAAAACAGGAGCTCCAGCTCAGATAATAATGAATGATCAATCCATGGCGAACTCGAATTTGGGCACCCAGCAGCTTATAACAAATTCTCAATCTCAGCAAATTAATTTATTACAACCGGTTAATTTAATTAACAGTACCGGTGTAGTTCAAAACTTCCCAGCTATTCATCAGTTCATTGTACCGAACTTGGGTGGTATGGTCGTTAATCCAGATGGTACAGCAACAATCCTTCAAGATACTTCCAATTTGGGCATGCAGCTACAATTCCAGAACGTCAACGGCCAAAATATGCTCACTTCAGTTCAGAATAATGGTCTATTCAACAACGGGCAAACTATATTTGCAGCTGGGCCATCTGGAATGGTTATTAGAGCTCCCACTTCTCAAGGAAAGATCATCCAGCAACAGCACAGTCCAGTAGCGCAGTTTTTGTCCCCCAATGGGGGACAATTCATCATGAACGGATCCCAGTTCAGCGGACAGCTTAGTCCTCTTGTAGCAAGCGTGAGCCCCAACCAACAGGTGACTTTCAACAGTCCTCCACAACAGATCAGATCCAGCAACTCGCTACAGCCGACCCAACAGGAGTATATCCAGATGAATGGGCAAACTCTGATCGTTCCTTGCAGCTTGGCTTCCAGTATTCCCGTTTCCAGTCAGACTTCCAATCAAAATACTACGTTTCTGCAGCAAAACACGACGATAGTGCAACAGCAGACTACAATGTTGACCAATCAGGGCTTGCAAAACTTCCAGAATAACCAGCAAACCCAGCAAGGCGGTCCCAAACCAGCAACTTTAACTGCAGGTACAGTAAAAGTACTTCCTGAAATATTTAAAATTACTTAAGCATTGGTTTTGCATTTGGTCATCTTTGGTCAGCTTTTTTCATTGACGCTACTCTAGTCTTACACTTCCTAAGAGTCGTATTATGTCAAATGACCGATAATTGTTGTTTTCAGGCATCGAAGAAGCTAGAGAAAGCCCGAAATCATCTAGTCACTGCAGACAGTCAGTGTCAACTCAAACGGCAGTAAATCAAAACGTCCAGGCGATCATTACCAACACCTCGTGTCAGACGTCGACGATTTCAGCCGCAAGTCCACCGGATACAACGACTATGAGTCCTGTTCCAGTGGCGTCTGAGATGCAGAGTCCCATTCTTGCCGATACTACAACTCACACCGATGACGGGCTCTCTCCAGTACCGTTAAGCTGTACTGCAGTTAGACACGATAATGTTAGATCCGAATCTCAATCCTGCACCATGGTGAGTACTTCTTTTTGTTATAACTTTATCCTTTCCTTTCTCACGTTGTTTCTCTTCTTAATAGAAGTTTAACCACAACTTTGTTCAATTAATTTGTTTTTTCCTGAACTTCTTATTATTTGTTCTAGTTTGCGCCAAACATTTTTTACTTCTCATGTACAGTTATATTAAAAAAAAGGTACAAGTATTAGAAAGGGAAGTTAACGTCATCCTATTTGTGTAAAACCGGCTGGGATTTTTGGAGGTTATCAAATGTCATAAGTGATCAAAAATCTAACTCATAGACGTCAAAGACGTTTAATTTGATAGAAGGTTTAACGTTACGTACAATAAAAAATTAATATGCCTCGTCATTTAAGTGAGATTGAAAAGGCTCAAATAATTACGAAAATGGAAGAAGGATGGTCAATTCGTGCGCTAGCAAATTTCTATAAGTAATAGAAATTTGAAAACAATCTTCAGAATTAAGCAACGATGGGTCCAACAACAATCATTAAAAAGAAAAGTTGGTTCAGGGCGTTCCAAAGTATCCACTCCTCAACAAGATGCTGCTTTAGTTCAATTCTTAAGAGATAATCCATTTGTGACGTCGAAGGATTCAAGGATTCATACGGGATTTCCTGGTGCCCAACCTACTGTAAGCAGAAGGATCAATGAATCTGAATTAAAAAACCGACCAGCTGCTAAAAAACCATTAGTAACTGTTGAACATCGGCAAGCAAGAGTAATATTTGCACTAAACTATATTTACCGCAACCCACAATTTTGGAACAACGTCATTTTTACTGATGAAAAGACTTTTCAGTCGACCTATAACGGTCAAATCCGTGTTTATCGTCCAGCCAATACTAGGTTTGAAGAACGATATATTCACTCTCATAATAAATCTGGACGTTTTTCTGTAAATGTATGAGGTTGGATTAGTATACATGGACCTGGTGTTTGTTGGCGATTAGAGGGAAGATTTACTGCCGACAATTACATTAACGTTTTGGAACACGTAATGCTCCCTTCTATTGAGCAATTGTATCCTAATAATACTTTTATATATCAACAAGAGAATTGTTCAGTCCACACTGCCCATGCCGTAAGGAATTGGTTTCAAACGCAAAACCTGGAAGTACATATTGCCATGGTCTGCGCACAGTCCAGATATAAATCCAATTGAAAACATTTGGGGCATAATTGTTAAAAAAATATATAAAAGAAATTTTATGCCACAAAATTCAGATCAATTGTGGGATACAATCTTAGAGTGCTGGGAAGATCTTGATCCAAATATGATATCTAATATAATTCAAAGTATGCCAAATAGACTAAATAAAGTTATAGAAGCAGACGGTTCTATCACCAAATACTAAATTCTATTTGTAACAGTCATTAAAATTATTCTTTATATAATTGTTGAATAAATGGTTTCGTCTAATTAATGCTCAACGCCAATGATTTATATTTTTAATAACCTGTGACATTTGATAACCTCCAAAAATCCCAGCCGGTTTTACAAAAATAGGATGACGTTAACTTCTCTTTCTAATATTTATACCCTTTTTTTTAATATAACTGTATCTCTCATTCATATTTAATATTTTTGTGCCACATTGCTGTATGTTTTACAAGTAGTTCAATTCTTCTCTGGTTGCTGATTTTTTTCTATTCTATTGTATTCTATTTTTATTTCCTTTGTTATTCATTTCTTTTATCTTTCGCTTTTCTCCCTGTCTTTCTACCAGTACCATTGTTGTCAAAAAACTCAGGAGAGAGAATGAAATCTCTCTCTTGATGCCAACCAATATGTAGCTTCGCCGTTTTTTTTTAATTTTAAACTGTTTGTCCTTGTGTCGTGTATAATTTTTAATGTTTATGACATTCTTAATATATTGTTGGATAGCCCGAATTTGACGAAATGCCCTTGAATATGCTCTAGGACAGTGGTTCTCAACCTTTTTGTGGCGACGGAACACTTTTAATTACCGAAAAAAATTGCGGAACACCAAAGCAATAACATGCATATATTGATAAACAAATTAGGATTAGCACATAAATTCTGTAATAAACTTTATTATACGTACTCAAATTTGTAAAATTTTACTTAAAATATGAAAACAAAAAACATTTTTAAAATTAACAAAAGCGTAATTCTCAAAATACATCATATGAGTAAATACTTCAAATTAGTGAGACACTTGTGCCTGGTGTCGTTTGCAAATTTGCTCAATATCAGGCCTGATGTGGGAAAGAGCTACTCTCATTTCTTGTTCTAAGTTTAGTAGCCTTTCCCGTTTCTTATTTTTAATGTTTGTGAAATATGAGAACCCAAATTCACATAAATAGGACGTTGAAAACTGTATTAAAATACTAATCGCTTTTTTGGCAAGAAGTGGATATTCCTCTTGGACCAAGATCCAAAATTCCTGAACATTCACTTCTGAAAACTTAATTTTCAGAGTACGATCAGATGACAACGAAATAAATTCTTCTTCTTGGTTCAGAGAAAACTGGAAATTGGCTGTATTACTTGTGCTAAAAGGACTTCTTATCCAGTCATATTTTTCTACGTTCAGAGATGGAAAATACCTGGCAATCGTCTCCTCTAATAGTGATAAGTGTTCTGTAACTATATGCGTGATTTCTTGTTCTTTATCTTCATCATCTTCATTCTGAAGCAGTGGAAACATATCTATTTTATTTGTCTCTAAAATGCGCTTCTTCCAAAATGACAATTTTTTCTGGAAAGCTGACAGCTTGTCCGTGGATGTTAAAATATTTTCATTTTTGCCTTGCATACTCGAGTTAAAGCCATTTAAATAATTAAAAATATCGGCCAAATATGCCACTTTAGTGCACCATGCATCATTTTCAAAATATGTGGTAAATATGTCATTACCTTCTTCTTGGAAAAAAGTTAACAGCTCCGTTCTAAGTTCATAAATTCGACATAATACTTTGCCCCTTGACAACCATCTAACTTCGGTGTGCAGCAACAAACATTCATACTTTGATTCCATTGAGATGCAGAGTTGTTTAAAAAGACGGGTTTTTAGTGGTCTTGATTTGATGTAATTCACGACATTAACCACTTGGTCTAATACAGATTTCAAAGTAGCTGGTAGCGTTTTTGAAATTAGAGATTCTCTATGCAAGAAACAGTGCGTAGATATGATATTTTCATTTCGCTTTTTTGCAAGGGTACAAAAACCTTTTATGGAGCCTACCATGGAAGGGGCACCATCCGTACAAATTCCTACGCAAAAGTCCCATGATATATTTTTTTTCTCTAAATATGACGTTATGGAATCAAATACATCCTGACCTGTTGTACGTGCTGTAAGTTCTCTGCAGCATAAAAACTGATTGACTATTTCACCTTCGTCGACAAATCGAATAAATCCTAATAAATGAGCTTTGCCACTAATATCAGTGGATTCGTCCACCTGCAATGCGAAGTTTTTTTTGTAAAGTTTATTTGTAACTTTTTCCTCAATATCTGCAGATAAATCAATAATCCTCCTTCTTATTGTATCATCCGACATAGGAATTTTCCGTATTTCGTTTTGTGCATCGTTGCCAAACATAATTTTGACCATCTCACAACATGCTGGTAATATAAGAGATTCTGCAACAGTGTGTGGTTTCTGTTTCAAAGCAATTAATTCGGCGACCTTATATGAAGCTATTTGTGCTTTGTCGGAAATTGTTAGCGACCTTTCAAATTGTTTCGCTTGTTTAGCTTGTGTCTCCAAAAGTCGCCTGAAATAATCTTTATTTTTTGAAGCTACACTAGCGTGTTTGGTAGTAAAATGGCGTTTTAATTTAGCCGGAGCCATTGCGCTATTAGCGAGTGTCTGCCCACAAACAATACACTTGGGAATTGGACAGTCTTCTTCCCCAGTCCAAATGAAGCCATAATCCAAATATTCATCCAAATATTGCCGGTTCAACATTTTTTTGCTGCGCTTCGATTTGTCATCAACCCCACTTCGTAAAGTTCCAGTATTTCCGCTGGTGCTCGCTTCATCATAATTAATTATGAGTTGTTCCACAGTAGTTTTTCTTTTAAGTTTGAGGAACTTATCCATTTTAATTTATTCGTCTCTAAACAAAATAATGCGGATGAATGCTTCACATTTTGTATAAAATATGCAATTACTTACCTTTGATAGATAAGCCGTACGTAAACGTTATCATAAAAAAACTGACACAGCGATTTTCACGTATTACGTTTGTGCAATGTAACAAATTCAACATTCAGTTGCAGACTGTGGCGTGGGTGACTCAGATTGGCTGTGGCCACTGCGGAGCTCAGCGCTCAGCGCTTATTATATCCAACGTGTCCACTGTGCCGACGCGGTGTTGTCGCGTTGGGCAAATGATCATTTACGCTGCAGAATTTTATTAAATTAAAATGTACGTAAGTGGCTATTTTAAATTTTGAAAATATTTATTTGAAAAGAGTAATTTAGCAAAATGGTATGTAGGATTGCGAGTATTTCGCGGAACACTTGGAAGGAATTCGCGGAACACTGGTTGAGAACCACTGCTCTAGGAGCATCTTGAGTACTTGGGCAAAATTTAATAAATAAACTGCTCGATATCTGCCTTTTATTTGATTAAAAAATATCAAATAGTTGATCGACAATTTTGTTAATTATTTTTATTTTGAGCATTTCTTTGAGGCATTTTCTTATGTGCGGTTCCTGTTGTTTAGGCGATGGTCCATTGTATATCGAGCAGTGAACCAGATCCTTCAGATGGGCAGAATCCCGATCCAGACTGGAAGCAAACCCTTCAAACCAATAACAGTAACATAAATGAGACGTACACAGGTAAATAGCTGATTGATTGAGTCGATAAAAAGTTTAATATTTTTTAAAAAGAATGTTTAAAAACTACTGTTTTGTTAATTTTTACAGTTTTACACTTAATTATGCAATATGATAAAATTTGATGTTGTACATCACGTTGTATTAAAAATTGCGTTTTCTAATGAAACAATAGAGAATCCCGAAATTTATTATATTTAGATTTGTCTAAATAAAAACAAAGGTGTTTGTATTTATGATATTACGAGAATTTTGTAGAATGATTAGGTTTTGATGTCATGTCTGATAGTTTCTTTTTACTTCTTTATATCTTTTTTTATCGTGAATAAAAAATATAATATTCTTTAGGCGGTATGACTCATCATGTAGGTAAAATGTCATCGTCCTCCACGCAGCTGGTGTCGGCCGAATCGTCGTCTTCCGTTACGAGCCTTCATTACAGCGCATCTGATCAAGAGCCGATCAGCAGTTCCAAACATTTCGATAGAAAGAAAACGGCGGATTGTTGCGTCGTTATGGAAGCACATCACGAGCAGCTATCGCTGTTCTCCGGAGCTGGCAATATGCTAAACGAGACCGAAGTCGACGAAGAGATAGAAGACAATGGAGAGGATGGCACCGGGCAAGTTAGCGATGGGGATGATGACGATGATTCTAACGAAGGTAAGACGTATAATGCACGAAAAGGCATTATAGCCTGAAACTTAATTTTCTTAATATCAGTTTCCTATTGTTTTGGGTTTATATCCTTTGTTTATGCCCATTCCATTATTTTTTTTGGCTTTAAATATTTTTCTTTGTTTTTTCAAATATTTTAAAGTGTTTTATATTATTTTGTAGAAATTTTCGGCCTACATTCATTTTGTATGCTTCAGTGTAAAAATTACTTTCAGTCAAAATTATACATAGAAGAACTTATAAAGAATATAAAAGAAGAGATATGTGATTAAAAATCCGCTCTAAGAAATGTATCCTCGGCTTTAGTATGTTAGGTGATAAAAAACAGTATATATGGCAAATATACTGCCTTTATATGCCTATGAAAATTTCAAATAGGTCATAGATTAAATATAGTTTGCAGCTCGTGTATAGCTGAAAAATTAATTAATTAGTCTCTATATTTTCAACACAAATATTATCTATATTGTATGACTAATACAATCAGTCTAATTGGTATATATTTTTTGTTTTAGGTTATTTGGTTGGGAGTCTCCTTATAAATTCGTAAAGCAGCATTAGTAGTGTCCAGACATATGTCCATATTTATTCATTACCTTTAACTTCACACGTAAAAATGTCCTTAACTGTTTCATTGTAGTTATTTATAACAATCGAACAAAGCAGGAAATCCAGAAAATATCAAATGAGTTTCATCTCCTGTATATTCAAATTCTTTCCCAGATTTTAACGACATACATACCATTATGGTGCATGGATGGAAAGAAACAAAAGGTATAGATAAAAATCGTATCGTGTAGATAAGAATCACAGGGCGACAAACATATTAAAGAGTAAAATCTCAGAAAAGACATCTAGAATAAAATGTATAAGAACCTAGTCATAGAAATTAAATGGAAGGACAAAATGATTTATCCAGAGCTAGGATCGTACTAGATCATATCATGGAATTAAGAAACACAAGATCAAAGAATAGATCAAAGATTTAAACATATATCTCCAAGAATATGTACTTCTTTACTTTATATATCTTTAAATATTTTATATACTTTATATAATATACTTTATATAAACTTTATACTTTATATATGTATATATAAATATTTATGGTTATTAAATCGTGTGAAAATTTTGTAATTAATAGCATTGCTGGCCCCGCCCACTAATGTAATTGTTGCAATGACAACTGACAAAGAAGATAGTAGCAGATGGCATTAGCGGATGTAAGTGAAGATAATTCTGTTGAACATGACTTGTGGCCGCCACAGCTATATTTTCTTTTAAATATTGTATTTGCTGATTCAGTACAATTAACAGGAAAACCAGTTGGCTTGGCGATGTTTTGAGGATTTCCCGCTTTCGTTTCCTATTCATTGTTTTCAGTTGGAATACTAGGAGACCAGTGTTCTAGTCGCTTTCTTATCTAAAATACTAAAATATAGTAAGAGTTTTTGTATCTATATGGTAAAACAAAATAGATTTGTATAATTGATTTAGGTATGATGTAAAAAATCGTAGGTAAGACATACACATTCGTTTAGATACGATTTGTTTCATTTTTCCTTTCGCTCCCATTATTGAAACCATCCTGAATACAAACCTCAGTCTCCATGGAGGACGGATTAGACCGTACAGCTACTTGAACAGCAAAAACTGACAGTAATCAAGAGAAGCACAATGATAAAATATCAAGAAAATCACATATCTGCATCAAATTAGTAGAATACTTAAGAAACTGACAGAAAACATTAGAAGCAGACATAGACAAAAGAAAAGATTTTACCTAAGAGATAATTATTAGGTTTGTTCTAGCAAACAGACAAACTAGTCAGAAACCGTCAGCAAACAGTTGGTCAGCGAGAGAAAATAATACAGTCACCAGTGCTATATCCCCTCTACTCGCACTGGGGTCGTATTTTTGAATGTGTTCGAATTTATTCGCATGCGATTAGTTCGAACGAAAAAAAATCGTGCACGAACGTAAAAGCGTATTTTCGAACGCAATTCGAAAGTTTAATTCGCATACGAGAATCCGTTAACCCAAATTCACCGGCAACGCCGCAAATTCGCACGAAATTAAGAAAAGAAGAGGTAGAGGTGACAGGCGACATTTATTTGACTGACAAGTTTATTTTACTTGTTGCAGCAGACTTGAAGTTTTTTAGTTTTTTGTGATTTGCTCAATTTTCTACACAGTGTTAACGTGTTTTGGCTTGTGTTTTCGTACTTATCTGTTTTCTCTGTTTCCAATATGGACAAAGAAAATAAAAATTCCATGTTCGGAGGATTTGTATCTTCCGAACAAAAAAAAAGAACTGATAGATTTTATGGAAGAAAATAGATTAGAAAACCTGCAAAAAATTATTGTAGGTAAACAATTTTATTACTCTCTATGTAAAATACTTGGCCCGGATGCTTATTCTTAAGGAACAAAGCGGAGGGTGCTTTGGGGAACATTTTCACAGTATACCTATGTCGAATTAAAAATATTTGTTATACTTACCTTTCTCGGTATGCTCAATGCAGATGCCCTAGATGGAGGTACCAAGTGGGGCTCCAAAAGTTCTATTAGTTCCTCTGCCAGAGGCTTTGTTAAACGGTATAATTTTACAAATTGTTTGTCTGATAAGGCTTCAAGAGGGTTTAAAAATGCATGGTATACTCTATTCTCCACATTCGCTAACATTTCTGCATCTTCTAAGGCATTTAAAACATTTCTTTCAATTAAAAAATTTAGGCCGGCCATCTCACTTATGTAAACAATTAAAAACCAAACTAAATGCAAAAGTCAGAAATGTCAAACTCCGTGTGTTTACCGCTATTCGAATGGTGAATACCCACTCGAGCAGTCGTGTACGAAAATCGTCGTATACGATGCGTTCGAAATCAACTCGAAAATACGAATCATCGATTTTCGTTCGAAATTCATCATCTTTCGCATACGACTTCCGTTCGAACGGTTTCGAAAATACGGGCCCTGGGGTCGTATTTTTGAATGTGTTCGAATTTATTCGCATGCGATTAGTTCGAACGAAAAAAAATCGTGCACGAACGTAAAAGCGTATTTTCGAACGCAATTCGAAAGTTTAATTCGCATACGAGAATCCGTTAACCCAAATTCACCGGCAACGCCGCAAATTCGCACGAAATTAAGAAAAGAAGAGGTAGAGGTGACAGGCGACATTTATTTGACTGACAAGTTTATTTTACTTGTTGCAGCAGACTTGAAGTTTTTTAGTTTTTTGTGATTTGCTCAATTTTCTACACAGTGTTAACGTGTTTTGGCTTGTGTTTTCGTACTTATCTGTTTTCTCTGTTTCCAATATGGACAAAGAAAATAAAAATTCCATGTTCGGAGGATTTGTATCTTCCGAACAAAAAAAAAGAACTGATAGATTTTATGGAAGAAAATAGATTAGAAAACCTGCAAAAAATTATTGTAGGTAAACAATTTTATTACTCTCTATGTAAAATACTTGGCCCGGATGCTTATTCTTAAGGAACAAAGCGGAGGGTGCTTTGGGGAACATTTTCACAGTATACCTATGTCGAATTAAAAATATTTGTTATACTTACCTTTCTCGGTATGCTCAATGCAGATGCCCTAGATGGAGGTACCAAGTGGGGCTCCAAAAGTTCTATTAGTTCCTCTGCCAGAGGCTTTGTTAAACGGTATAATTTTACAAATTGTTTGTCTGATAAGGCTTCAAGAGGGTTTAAAAATGCATGGTATACTCTATTCTCCACATTCGCTAACATTTCTGCATCTTCTAAGGCATTTAAAACATTTCTTTCAATTAAAAAATTTAGGCCGGCCATCTCACTTATGTAAACAATTAAAAACCAAACTAAATGCAAAAGTCAGAAATGTCAAACTCCGTGTGTTTACCGCTATTCGAATGGTGAATACCCACTCGAGCAGTCGTGTACGAAAATCGTCGTATACGATGCGTTCGAAATCAACTCGAAAATACGAATCATCGATTTTCGTTCGAAATTCATCATCTTTCGCATACGACTTCCGTTCGAACGGTTTCGAAAATACGGGCCCTGGTCCACTATTCGCTGATGGTTTCAAACCATTTGAAACTGATGCTAGAACAAACCTATTATCTTCACCGTAGTCTGAGATATCTTGGCTTATATTTAATGTATTTTTGTCTAGCACAACAAAAGATTGTATTGAACAATTAAAAAACGAAGCTAACAGTTGCCAGTTAAAAAGAAAAAGGTAGGTTATCATCAAAACAATCATCTATCCATTCGAAAATGGTAAAAATCGTAAGAAATATTTTAAGAAAATACTAGAAGATAATAGAGAGTTTTCTTTTCTCATGTTTTCTCATATTCGAATAAATTTCTGCACTTTCAACCTCTGTTTTGAGATTCCTTGAAGAAATAGTGAATTTGGGGAAAATTTGGTATATTTTAAACGTTTTTGACTAACCAGTGGCGGATTTTGATTACGTGGCCTAAATTTCCCCAATTCTTGGCAGTTTGAACAAGTAAAACGGATTTTTTTAGCCCCATCGCTAAATATTTAGGGTAAATATATGTAATATATACAGAAATCGACGAATATACGAATCCACGGAATACTTATACAGATAAAGAATATCAGAGAAGATTGCTGTGAATGAAATATTAGAAAACGATAACATCGAGGAAAGCAAGGTAAAACTCAAAAATAACATAATTAACACAGTAACAGAATCACTTGGAGAGAGGAAAGTAACAAACACTAACATATCAATAAAGGAAACCCCATGGTTGAGAGAGGAAGTAAAAGAAGAAAGCCTATTTACAATACAGAACACAACAAACACACAACTACTATAAACGAATCAGAAATGAAATGAATATTTTGGTTAGCTTTGGGTTTAGTTAACACAAAAAACACAAACAGAAATATGGAGAATGATTAGAGGACAAAAAAAGAGATGAACGAACTAATAAAAACGAAACACATTCAGAAGGAAACATGCGCAGACTACTTTGGATCCTATTTGCTAATCGTGATGATAATGAACCACCAACACCAGAGGTGATGACAAACGAAGAAACAAATATTGAGGAGGAAGAGGTAAAGGAAGCATTAGGGAAATTAAAAAATAGAAAATCATCAAGAGAGTAAAGAATACCGAACGAACTCCTAAAGTACGAAAGACCAGATCTGACCAAATAAATATTAACACGTTAAACGCCATGAGAAGCAAGTGTGCATCTCAGTCACTGAACTTACTGACGCCATGAGAAGCACCTTTGCATCTCATACCCTTAGTGTATTTCAGGCTACGTGGTACATCCACGCTTCACAGTACCCATTCATTTATTTGGAATACAGTTTCTCAGTGGCCTGATAAACTCTTTTATATATTTAGCCTGCATTTTTAGGATACTAGTGTCTAGCAATAAAACAATATGTTATTATGTAGCTTGAAACTAAATTTTATTTATATATAACGTAAACAACTGTTTTTTAATGCAAAAGATCAGCAAATGTTCCTTAAAAATTAGCAATACATGTTTCTAGTTAAGAAATAAATGAAAAAATATAATATTTGCGTATATACAAATTTCTATAGATTACATGAATGAACCTCGCAAAAACATGTGATACAATAAAATTTATCGCACTGAATGCACCTGAAACGGGAAAAGGGAGTTTTAGTCTGTGCAAATTTTCTACCATTATCTGCTGAATTTTTTGCATAACATGTGACACATCTTCTTCTGGCCGAACTTTGCACTTCGTCCATATGGTGACCTTCACGAGCATGTGGCATATGTTGCTCTGGATTAGTTAGTCTAGTGAAATCTACAAGTTGACAAACCAACTCTTCCTTGAAAGATGTGATGGACACGTTAGTGTTGGTTACTTTTTGATAAATTATATAGGCGTTGACAATAGCTGACCCTAGAAGGAGCTCAATTGCCATTTTACGATACCATTTCACTGATTTTCGTAATGCTGTAGAGTCAGCCTTTAGTTGGTCGGATATATCTATAAATCCTTTGCTCTTATTGTAGTCGACAACAGAAACTGGCTTTTCAACAATTCCTCCCCTTTGATGGACGTCTACCATTTCAGCAGTATGCTTTGTACTCAGCATAAGCACTTCGCGTTTGTCCTTCCACTTAGTTACTACTACACCTGTGTTACTCTCCATCCCAATAATCTCCCCTTTCTTTAATTTTGCACCTGTCACTTCTTTCGGATTAAGTTTCCTGTTTTGCCTCAAAGTTCCCACCAAATTTGTATTTTTGTTTAGCAACCTATGTGCTAATGTAACGCTAGTATAAAAATTGTCTGTGTATATAGTACGTCCAACATCTAATAAGTTATTAGCTAAACTAAACACAACACTATCCGGAACTGACATATTTTCAGTTTTATCATTACCACAATAAATTTGTAGATCATAAGTATAACCTCCATCCAAACAGAGTTTGTACACCTTCACCCCGAATTTATGTCTCTTGTTTTTGATATACTGCCGAAATGACAGTCGGCCCCTAAACGGAACTACAGTTTCATCAA